AGCCGCATACAATTAGATGACGGGCGGATAAGAGACACGGGAATCTGTCCTCGGGAGCACAGGCCTGTGACAGAGCCGTAGGACCGTGTTGACACAAAGCTACCTTAGTCCAAGCCGCAATCGCGTCTTGTCTTTCTCCCGCACACAGAGACAGAGATGGATCAATACAGATACTATAAGATGTCCCATGAGGCGCAGCGGCACTGTTTATCCTCAGCATAATAATGAGAGCAAAAAGTTATATTAGCTCGATTACGCCGTGGAGACCGCTATTGTAGCCATACAGACAAGACGGATGCACGCACGCACATACACAGAGAGGGAGCGAGGGGAGAGAGAGATAGGGGGAGCGAGAGAGAGAGAGAGAGGAGGGGGAGAGAGAGAGAGAGAGAGAAAGAGAGAGAGAGAAAGAAGGAGAGAGAGGAGAAGAGAATTCCTATTATAACTTGCATGATTGTTTACACATAGTAGAATAGCAAATTTACACGTATTCATATTTCGTCGCAGCACATAATACATATTATATGATCACATACAATTGATTATTTTCTTCTAACATTGCCATCCAATCCTAGTCCAGCAATTAAGCGATACTCACTTATATAAACGAAGATATGAACGACCATTGTATAACACGATAAAAATTATTGCCGCCATTATTGCAGGATAGACCTGCTCTCGGCCGAGATTCACAAACACAATATCATTATGGCGAGATATCGCACGCCTCTACACAAAGAAATGACAGCGACGTACGTAATATAAGATGTACATACAGGGTTCGCGCGCTTTGTAACCAGCGGAGCCGAAAACTTTCGCAAAAACGCGTTGATATTTACAGCCATGGCTCAAAAAGTGCGTTTCCCCAAAAGAAGAGCAGCGTCGGCTTCGATCCGAGGGTAACATAACATCAAGAGCGTATAAAGAAGGCTTTATACGCTATTGATAACATTTACTAAGCACGCACTCAGCAGTAGCGCTAGTGGCACATCCTCACAACCGCGTAAACCCCCCTCAAATAGAAACGTCGCCAAAATATACTTTCGTACAATAATAATAGTAATAATAACGAGAAGGGCGACGACCAGTGAGTGTCCGCAGCCAGTCGTCGTTGCAGTAAAATACGCGTGGCTTTAAAACGCAATAAAAACGTAAAAGCCTTAAAAAAAACACGCATTACATCGGTGGAACATCGCAGGGATACCGACCGCCGACGCCGCCGCGACCGCCTTCTCCCTCTCCCCGATACAAGTGCTCCTAAAATAAAACCTCCCTTTCTCCCGATCCATCATCAGATTGAAGCGCAACACCAGTACCCCTTACACATGCACCAAAAGTGATGCGAGTCTACAATTTCACGGCCGCTCCGCCCCTCCCCCTCGCCGTCGCAGATTGCCTATATATATATATATATGCCCCCGGAGGCGAGGGACTTCCACCCACGCAACTGGCGCAGGGAGCGAGCCAGCGAGCAAGAGGGAGCGAGAAAGAGAGACGGAGAGCGAGCCAGCGAGCGAGAAAAAGAGAGGGCGAGCGAGAGAGAGAGAGAGAGAGAAAAAAAAACAGAGAAGGGGACAATGCTCGAGAGATTGGGTGCGATTACTAAAATCAATATGTATTGTGTGCGGTTGGCGTGTATCCGTGACAGCGAGAGCTTTAACCACAAGCTTTAACCACGGCTATTGTGCGCGAGTGCTGGTCGACACACCTGTGCAGGTGGCGTATCGCTGCCGGTACACCTCGTTAGCGCACCTTTTTGCCACCCACTCTTTCCTCGCGCGCGCATTGCGCGTTAAAGTGCGACGAAAGAGAGATGATACGGCGATAGAGCGAGAGAGAGGGGGAGGAAGAAAGAGAGCGCGCGCGAGATGAGATGGCGATAGAGAGAGAGAGTGAGAGAGAGAGAGAGTGAGATGAGACGGCGAGAGAGAGAGAGAGAGAGAGAGGAGAGGAAGACATAGCGAGCGCGAGATGAGACGGCGAGAGAGACGGAGAGAGAGGGGGGGAGAGAGGAAGAGAGAAAGAGCACGCGCGAGATGAGATGGTGATAGAGAGAGAGAGAGAGAGAGAGAGATGGCGATAAAGAGAACGAACTCGTTTTCCCCTCTCGCTTATCTCGGCCACTTAAACGCAGCGTGGGAGGAGGGAAGGTAAATTATCCTGATCAGAGGAGCGCAGAAGAAAATGGAAGTGGTCTTGCTCAGGGGCAGCCGGAGTTCACTCCAAACGCACACACGCGAGAGGCTAGGAAACCACATTCACATGCGGATCTGTGGATAATTGCTCGTTTCGATTCGATCCAAAAGCCTCCACGCTACTGGTAGGAGGCGTTTAGGGCTTTTCTCTACCTCTCCAACTCCCCCCATCCCCCCCGCCGGTGTTGGTGGCGCACTGCCAGACATATCTGTACACCTACGCTCGTGTCTCCCACACAGCACGCAGGAAACCTACATACTACACACATTCGCTTTCGGATGCATCAACTGAACTGTTATTGCGGAGAAAATCATAAACATAAAATGAAGTTGTCCGGCGTGCGACGACGAAACAACGCCGATGAGTATTTGTTGGCAGCAGTGCCAATCTAAAGTTAGAGAGAGAGAAGGGGAAAGAGAGATAGAGAGGGAAAGAGCGAGAGAGAGA